GATTTACAATTGTATATATCTATAAATGTTCTATTAATAAAGTTTTCATTATTATTATTATTTTTGACTATCATCAACATCCGATTGCTCTTTCTGCTCCTCACCTGAAACGCTGCTTCAGGTGATTGCTGGATGTAAGACATATTTCGACGAAGGCCGGTTTACATGGCGACACGATTCTGTTTTAAATTTCCTCGCATCCACTCTTACTGCTGTGAAAAATTCCACACTTTACGCGGACATTCCTGGCTATATGAATCCATCTGTTATCACCGGAGATAGTTTACGACCTGACCTTCTGCCGGTGACTGAAAACAGATGTCTATACATCCTCGAGCTTACAGACGGTTATGAATCCAATCTGTAAGTTAACGCCAATCGTAAGCGTCAAAAGTAGTACCTTGATCTAATCAATGAGCAGGAAGCAGATTATGATAAAGTCAAGGCGTCAATTTATCATTGAGTACACTCGGAGTTTTCCGCCGATCATCTGAAAATTTCGATGGCATGCTAAGTAGCCTTAAATGTGATGCCAAGTATAGTAAATACATAAAAAAGAAAATCGTTAACATGTGCATACGAACATCATATTATATATTTTGTAAACGAAACAAGGTGTAGGATAACCCAAAATTAAGTACTATTTAAAGCACGCGTAGGAGTGTTTTATCACATATAAAACACGACGCGTAGCGGAGTGTTTTATATGTGATAAAACACGACCACAAGTTTTGATTGTACAGCACACAATTGTATTCAAAAAACCATTATTTCATCATCTTGCAAAGTATGATCACGACACTCGGCCACATAACTGCCACAATATCGCGAATTACGAAAAATAAAACTCGTTAAAAATCCCCGTGGCCAATTTGCAGATTCTTTGATATTTTTTTGAAAATTTCTTCGGTAAAACTTTTTAATTTTTTGCACACAGTAATCTTATCTATAATTCCTTCAAATGATAGCATTTAAAAAAAATCCTACGAGAATTTTTTTTAATCCTAAAAAAGGCCTGTTTTTGGAATAAAAAAAATTCGGCTCGTACGATTTTCTTAAAACTTGCACATTTTACGCACTTCAAGATTACAGGAAAGTGTGTGAAGTTTTAAAAATTTTTACCGAATTAGGAAACACGAGAAAAATACATTTATTTTTATCTATGTGACGTCACAAAAATCAGGAATTCAATTTCCTCGCGCGACCAGCCGACAATCCTACGAAGGCCCGCGCGTCTATATACGATGTTTTGGCGCAATAAATATATTTGTTGGAATCGCAATTTTAAAAACCCGCCCGCAACGTCGACCACGCGTGTTGCCTGTAGCACTACTAATCTCGCGCGTGGACAAAATTTCAGCGACACAAACCTAAAACTGCAGGGAATCAATAAATAAAGTTTCCATTATTATTATTATATCATTTGAAAATATTTGAAAACAGTGACCCCTCAGGGCTCATAGCCTATATTAAAGGGACCGTTTGTTAGATATATTACAGTAATTATAGTTATATATTTAGTTACATATTAAAAGCTAACAATATACACAAAATATACTCTAGTCTAACAATTAAAAATTTGTCAAGGCTAAATAGCTTATGCCTCTTCCTTTGGCTATACATGATATATTATATACAGGCAGTCCCAAAGCGACGCAGCAGAGTTAAAGCTCTTTTTCATAATGTTTGTTTCCTGTTGACCAAGTACATAATTCGTATTTTAAAGTTGTTTGTACGTTTGCATGGCGATAAAACATATAATAGTTTCGTTTGTGGAAACACCACGTAAATTTATTACTGCATAGCTTTCGATCCGTAAGCCCGGATCTTCATCAGTGCTAACAATATGTAATGTTATTGTTATTATTATTATTATTATTATTATTATATATTATTATATTATTATTATTATTATTATTATTATTATTATTAGTATCCATATTATTATCCATATTATTATATTAAGCTTTGCAGTAATAAATTTACGTGGTGTTTCCACAAACAAAACCATTATAATTCGTATCATTACTTCGTACGTCATACCTATATCATTAGTTTTCATTTTGAACACGTTTGTTAAAGACGATGACAACGCGTCATCATTTTTTACTTTGTGCATGAAAATCATCTTATTAACGTCCAAGTAACGTTGCTTTAAGGCTGCCAGCTCAATTATTTTAAAACATCACCGCGGAGCTTACATCATATGCTCTACAGCCAATGATAATTTACGCAGCTCTGTTTTGTAATATTTGTAGTTTATCAATTAATAGATGGGGGCCAACTCACAGCAGTTGTCCCAAACCAAGCAGTACAATGGTCAAAAAGTGTGATAACACAATGGAATTAAATAATCTTAAAGTGCACCTCACCTCAATTATTTTTATCATCTCATTTTTAAGAACTTCTGAAATGATATAATAACTTTAAATATTTTGATGATTTTCGTTTGCTCACTTTGTTTCTGAGATATCTCAGTTTGTTTGGTCTGCAAATATCCGGAATTTAGGTCACAAATGCATAATGACTTAAAGCATGAAGCTTGTATATCGATCGTATTCACTATCGAGTTTAATTCATTAATATAAAATGAAGAAGTTTGGAGTTGTGGGTGGATTACATACCCATGTAAAACACAATTTCGCCTTTTTATTTCATGATATTTAACTGTACGACTTACATTCTTTGATCAGTCATTATTCATATGTGACGCAAATTCCGGACATTTGCATATTGAATAAAACTGAAATACCTCACAGACCGAGAGTGTTCAAACGAAAATCTTCAAAATAAGTTACATTATCATTTCAAAAGTTCGTACGAATGAGATGATAAATATATTGAGGTTGGGTCCACTTTAATAATAGTGAAAGAGGTTCAGATTTTGACTTCCACTACCGCTACCGTTTATATACTTTAAACCAATGAGATGCATTATTTATTATTCCGGATTACCATGCAGTCAAATTGTGCAGCCTGTGAGAGGTAGCGATAGTGGTAGTGGAAGTCAAGTCTGAATGTCTCTAATGTTGATTTGGGAATAAACTGCCCCATTCGCCGCATTATTCCTTTTCCTTTTTAAACTTTCCCTACTATAATTATTATTATTTTGAAATTGATGGCGATTCCATGATTCATGAAAGACGCTTATTAATAATGATGCCTAAAATTTTGGATTTATGAACCCGCCTATATTGACTCACCAAGTTCAATTTTAGGATCAGCTAAAATTGTGTGAGTTTAGAAATCTCCTTTCAAGTTAAGTTCAATGGTTGTAATGTAGTTGGATCCGTTCTTTCTTACACTATAGCGTGTCACATTTGGATTTGAAAACATCGTATCAGGAAATTTAAGATCCGATATCTCCTTTTGCAAATCGTCGTTTTCAATACGAAAACCATCGCCGCTTTGAAAAGATGTTTCAGTAACTTGATCGCCCGAGGACAGACTTCGAAATTGTAGCTCACTTGTAACAACAGGCGATACATTACTGGAGTAAACCAAGTTGTTGAGCGAAGCATTTCCTGCTTCCAAATTTCGATGTTTATCTTCCCGACGTAGAGCATCGATCGTTTTTTTTCGAATAAGAGTTTGCAGTTGTCGTCTTGTTCCATCGGGTAAAACACAAAACATTATGAATACAACAAATCCCTGAAGGCTGTTAAAAATGCAGAACAAATACTGAAATGCTAGTTTAGCATCGTTTATTGCGAGAATACCAAAAATCCAGGTTAAACCAAGCAATACCATAATAGCAATTCCTTGCCGAGCTTGCTGATGCCCCGATGCTTTCCGTACAGAGGTAACTTTGGTGCCGGACGTAATTAATGATCTGATAATAAGGCAGAATGCCACGATATTTCCAACGATGATTAAAGTGACTGGGGTGAAACATGCCACAATGAATGGTACGCCGTGTAGTCGACAACTGAAAGAAATATAAATGGCATTTCTTCAATTAAGTTTCAAGATATCCACAATACATCATCAAGCGATAGAATTTCTATTCTTTGAGAAATTTCCATCTGAATTAGTACGCATGGGCCTTTTGTACGATATTTATAAGGGAAATAGAGAATAGAATGATAAAGGCTATGTTTACTGCTTCCTTTCTGAATAAGTACTGAGAACTAACGCTTATTGTAAATCACCCACTTAGTCAGGCAGATAGAGGATCAATATTATGGAAAACTTACTTTATCGTGGGACAATTCCATTTTGCCTTCATATTGTGCCCTGAAGGCTAGTAAGTACGTTTCTGTATGTAAACCGCGTTAAAATTTCTTGTGGGCTCCTGCCGACACGTTTTTCTTCGAATTTTGTATTGAACTCTATTACAGTTAAAAAATGTAAAATTTCTGATACGTTTCTAATGCAAATGACTTGCATCAATAGAAAGCTAACAAAAATCTACATATAAGACATTTAAATGGTTAGTTGGGATTTTCAAGCGGTTTTCGAGTTATTGCCGTTTCAAATGTGAAAAATAAGCCAAAATCTCGCAAAATTCCTGGGAAAACTGTGAAAACTAGTCTGAAAACACGCATTCAACATGTACAGCTCATAACTCAAGAAGAACTTGAAAAACCCGGGTAACCATTTAAATTAAATGTCTTATATGTAGTTTTTTGCAAGCTTTCAAATGATGTAAGTCATTTGTGTTAGATATGTATTTGAAATTTCACATTTTTTAACTGTAATAGAGTTTAATACAAAATTCGAAGAAAAACGTGTCGGCAGGAGCCCGCAAGAAATTTTAACGCGGCCAGCATACAGAAACGTACTTACTCGCCTGCAGGGCACAATATGAAGGCAAAATGGAATTGTCCCACGATATGGCAAGTTTTTTCCTTCTATCTGCCCGACTAACTATATAACACTGGTATCGCCGGAAATACGTTCCGCCCACAAGATGGGAAGCAGAGAATTTCCTGTGAAACCATTTGTCGCATTAACTCTAAAGGAGGATTTCCACTTACAGAGAAAATTATATTTCGGGAACTCCGGTCGAAATATATGAGAATACTAGCGGTATGGCTTACCAATCTGTGCTTCACATCACATTTTAACCCAAAGAAATCTCTGGTGAAAAACCCCAACAACCCCCCCCCCCTGATCTGATCCGTCCCATAATCCACCTGTGGCTTTTTTACCTTGTGCTTCACACGCGAACAGGTAAGCTTCAGGTAGGCTAAAATATTTGTTTTTTGACACTTTTTCCTATCGTTTTTCATATGTTTTAGACACTCAGACATATTCTTAGACCATGTCGAGTCACCACAAGCGAAAAAGGTCTCATTCTCGCGATTCTACACATCGCTCTTCGAAGTCTAAAAAGTCGTCAAGCTCAACAGAGCAGTCAGACCATGCCAAAATTGACGAAGAAATGCTTCGCCAGCTTCGTGCCATCTCATCTACAGTTTCAGATCTTAAATCTAACATGGATGTGTGTAATAAAATAATTTCCCAGCTCGAAGATGTCTTTATTCGCGAGAATATGGCACATTCTCACTTAGAAAAGCAACCAGAGCATAGCCGGGACGACGACACGCTTTCGATTTTGGCGGGAAACGACAATCCTGAAAATTTTGAGGACTTGGCTATTGAGCCGCCAGAGAAGGCTATTGAGCCATCAGAGCAGGCTATTAAGCCACCAAACTCTGCCGTACAGCTAAACACTAGCGATGATATTTATGGCGACAGAGCTGATCCTTCAAAACAACAATCAGTTGAACTCAGCAATTACGTTAGCGAAGGTCAGCCGGGGTTATACGACCCCGAAGCTGTTACAACCTCGCATACCTAATTTTAAGAATTTTTTATCACTGCACAGTTTTGTGCAAAGTTTAGCCGAGCAGAAGCACGCCCTGAAAATTTCTGAACACACCCTTATAATAATGTGTAACAACAAAGCAGGCTACTATTCATATTCAAAAATGCCAAAACGAACATACACTGCACAGCACTCAGGGAAATTTGGGGGCCCAGGACAAACTTTGACTTGGGGGCTCTCGTGATTCCATGTTCTAACACTATGATTCCCTGGTCCGGGGGCATCACCCGGAAAAATTTTGAATCTGAGGTCCCAGAAATGGCCAAATCCTCCATTCTGGAAGTCTAGTTGACAGTCAGTTATATCTATGTACATTTCACTGCAATTCTTTATTTGGGCCCCCCTTTAACTGGGTCCCAGGGCAAATTGCACCCCTTTAACATGACTGAAGAAAATAAATATTTTCGTCTTGGCAAATGAAAGGCGGCTTACGGGCTTAGGCATGCACCCACAGACAATTTTGTAATCTAGGCACTATAAAAGAGTATCTCCTGCAATGTGCGGGGACATTCTATAGAATTCTGAAAATTATACAGTAATTACAAAATCTTATAACTATCATTCACTCCTTCTTCCAAACTCATAAAGAGATCTTTGGTGAGAGACTTTGTTCATCTGATGAACCATAAGTATGTTATTAATGCGGACGTTCGATAATTTGGCAGTCATCATTTCAATTTCAATTAAATCATTCTCATTCAAAATGTTTCGCCGGATTAGTTCAGTTTTTCTGCTCATTGTCTCATTTTCTTGTGTTAATTAACAACTTATCAAAGCAAATTTTATCACTGCACATTTTACATTTTATCACTGCACATTTTACTTTTATCACTGCACAAATTGGTTATCACTGCACACTAAAATTAGGTATGCAACCTCGTGGTCTCCACCTCAGGAGTTTAAGGATTTTTTAGAGAAAAATTTTCGAAGGAAACTATCCTTTGATCACATTTGTGATATTTTGGAGGAACAAGCTATTCCTCAGGTAGATTCCCTCGTTGCCACTACTCTAGATCCACCAATGTTGTCTCATGTTTCTCATCAAAATAAAAAGTTTGTGCAGGAGCGAGATAAAGAGCTTGCTGTTGTTCAACGTGCTATGTTTAACATCACAGGCCCATTATGCACATTGCATGACCGTTTAGAAAACAACCTTCCTGTTAACCCTACTGAGCTCAAGTTGCTTGTCGAACAATCCCTCTGTTTAGTGGGTTCGGCTAACACACAATTATCGGTACTCCGCTGCAAGAAAGTACTTGCATCCATTAACAAATCAAAAATTGATTTGGCAAACCAGTCATTGCCAAACGCCCAAAGATGGCTATTTGGAGACGATTTTCCCTCCATTGCATCTAAGGAAGCCGAGCTATCGCGGGGTTTGGCAAAAAATCTGGCGCCTACGGCCCCCAAAATTTATAACCAAGACCCGAAACAACCAAGCAGAAATTTCTCTCAGTCTACTAAATACAAAACTCAAAACAAGAGGGGTCGGTTTTTTCGTACCCCCCAGTCTCGTTTCCAACGGCCGCCAAATTACCACACCACTTCGAACAGTGGCAGGGTCTGACAGCAGACCCAGTTATTCTAGATGTTGTTTCCGGTTTAAAAATTCCTTTTCGTTGCGTTCTGTTCAAAAAACTGCACAAATGACTCAAGTCCGTTCAGAGTCAGAAACACTTATGGACAAGGAAGTGTCAGACCTTCTAACGGAAGGGGCAATTTGCGAAGTCCCCTTTGCCAAAGACGCTTATTACAGTCGCATGTTCCTAGTTCCCAAAAAGGACGGCGGTATGAGACCGGTTATAGATCTAAGCTCATTGAATCAGTACATAGAAACACAACATTTCCAGATGGAACATCTTTCCTCGATAAAAAACCCTCCTACAACAGGGGTACTACATGACAAAATTGGACCTAAAGGATGCATATCTTTCGGTTGCAATTCATCCTCAATCACAAAAATACCTTCGGTTCTGCTGGAAAACGAAAACCTATCAGTTCAAAGCACTCCCCTTCGGCCTAAACATAGCTCCAATGATCTTCACTCGGTTAATGAAACCAGTAGCGAGCTACTTACGGAAGCGAGGGGTCCGTCTGGTAATTTACCTGGACGATATGTTAATTATCGGAGCATCTCCGGAAGAGACAAGCCAGTTCACGGTAATGGCAATAGAGTTATTGGAGTCCCTTGGTTTCATCATAAACAAGGAGAAGTCCATCATGACTCCTACTCAGGTGATCCAATTCCTGGGTTTCATTATCAATTCGAACACAATGATGATTTTGCTACCCCAGGAAAAGGTAAACAAACTGCAAACATTGTGTCGTCAAACCCTGAAAACCGAGAAACCTGCATTAAGGAGCATAGCTCAACTGTTGGGGTTACTAGAATCTTACCGTCCAGCAATCTGGAAGGCTGCTCTTCACTTTCGTTTTCTTCAAGCTCTGCTTATTCGCAACCTACACACTTCAGATCACAATTACGAGACGAGAATTCAACTTCCAGGCAAACAGAAAGCGGAAATCCATTGGTGGTTTCAGAATATTATGACACTCAATGGCAGCCCAATTACGGTGCCTCCCCCGGATGTAACAATATTTTCCGATGCCTCGAAACAGGGGTGGGGTTACCAAACAGGTGGGGTTACCAAACCAACGGAAAATGGTCTGCCACCGAGAGGTTGTTACACATCAATATTCTCGAACTCAAAGCTGCCTTTCTAGGCCTGAAGTCCCTCTTGAAGAACCACCGTTCAATGACAGTGTCATTGAACATGGACAATTCCACCTCGGTTGCTTACATAAATCACAAGGGGGGCACCCACTCATTGCAATTACTAGAGCTGACATTAGAACTGTGGGATTGGTGCAATCAGAAGGACCTATTTGTCATAGCCCACCACCTTCCAGGGAAGCTCAACATTCAAGCAGACCTCGAATCCAGGCAGTTTCTGGACAACAGCGACTGGATGATCGATCCCAAAACTATAAAACCGTTCCTGAAGAACTGTCGGACGGATCTCTTCGCCTCTCGTCTAACACGACAACTAACAAATTACATCAGCTGGAGACCAGACCCAGAGGCTTACCATTGGGATGCCTTCACGGTGAGCTGGAAGGGACTTGCGGGATATGCTTTCCCTCCCTTCAACTTGGTCCCCATGGTCCTCAAAAAAGTCTTGTCGGACCAGACAGAGATTCTCTTGATAGCTCCAATTTGGCAAGCTCAGCCTTGGTGGCCTCTGTTACTCAGTCTTCTTGTACAGCAACCTGTCCTGCTGCCAAACAACAAACATCTCTTGAAGGATCCAACCGATCCTTCCTTGATACACCCGATGTACCCACGTCTACATTTGGGCGTATTTCACATCTCGAACGACGTTACCAGGCAGAGGGCCTTCCTGAACACGTTAGCAAACTACTCATTTCAGCCACTCGTAGTTCCACACGCAAAACCTACGAATCTAGCTGGCAGCGTTGGAGCCGCTGGTGTTCTACAAGGCAAATTAATCCAATTTCATCAACTTTGAGCAACGTTCTTACATTTTTGGCGGACTCATTCGCCTCCGGTTTGGAATATAGAACCATGAATGTTCTGAGATCGGCTTTGTCATCAACCCATACACGAATCGACGGTTATCTAGTCGGACAACATCCATATGTGATAAACCTGATGAGAGGTATTCTAAACAATCGCCCTCCAAAACCCTGATACACGCACACATGGGACGTTCATACGGTAACAGCGTACTTTAAGCAAATGGGAGACAACGCCACTCTTAAATTGAAACAGCTTTCCCTAAAGTTGGCAACTCTCTTTGCCTTGACATGTCCTAAGAGAGTCTCTTCTCTCTCAAATTTGGACCTTAATCATTACAAGTTATCCCCAGAAGGCTTAACTTTCACCTTATTTACTACAAAGACAACTCGTCCAGATGAAACCGTTCCTGCGTTTTATACTTGTTTTCCAGATGACAAAAGGTTATGTCCGGTAGCTTGTTTCCAACAATACATCTCTATGACGGCTGAATTTAGAAGAATTATGAAGGACCAACCCAATAGGTTGTTTCTTTCATTTATTAAACCTCACAAACCAGTTACTCCATCAACACTAGCCCGCTGGATTCGCTCACTGCTGGGCCAGTCTGGGATAGACACTGAGATTTTCAAAGCACATTCAGTAAGAGGAGCAGCAACATCAGCTGCTGCTAATGGGTCAGTTCCGTTAGAGGAGATCTTAAAGATGGCTGACTGGAATAAGGAATCGACTTTCAGACAATTTTATTATAGACCAATGGTATCAACACCAAACTTTGGTCGTGTTGTGTTAAACTAATTGTAAACAAGTCTTTAGACTTATTGTATCTACAGAGCTAAATAATAAAGTTCTTTTTGGCGGTTCACCATTGTAGTGTTAAACTCTACCGCTAGTATTCTCATATATTTCGACCGGAGTTCCCGAAATATAATTCGAATTATACTAGGGCTGTTCCAGCCTGCAGGTATAATTTAGGTTATATGAGGGAACGAAGGGAGAAATATATGATTCCCACCCTTACACCCGCCCATTTCATCTCAGGGTTAAATAAGCCACAGGTGGATTATGGGACGGATCGGATCAGGGGGGTGTTGTTGGGGTTTTTACCAGAGATTTCTTTGGGTTAAAATGTGATGTGAAGCACAGATTGGTAAGCCATACCGCTAGTATTCTCATATATTTCTCCCTTCGTTCCCTCATATAACCTAAATTATACCTGCAGGCTGGAACAGCCCTAGTATAATTCGAATTTACTCTCGATAATACTATACTACTTACATTTGAAGTTTTTACATATTGACTTTCTTCTCCTACGTCACGTGCCAAACCAAAATCAGCAATTTTTATGACGTAATTTTCCGTTACCAAGATATTTCTCGTAGCCAAATCTCTATGAATGCACTGCAAATTCCAAATATAACGTGTTAGGATTTGTGTTAATCTTTGTACGTGCTACACGGTGTCGTATAATTGGTCACTAGCAAACGAAAATGATTAACAAAGAAAAATAAACTGAAAAATACTAAATAGACGGGACAGTACGGTGAATATTAAAGAAAAAGAAGAGAACAATGGACATAGAATTGCGGAACAAAAATCATGTAAAACATAGTCATAGCAAAGTATAGCAATTAGCAATAGCATTAGAGAATAACAATCAATATATTGAAAAAAGGTACGGAACATTCAATGAATTTATACATAACAAAAACTACAAACGATGGAAACAATGATCTCGCCAAATCCGACAACCTCGTTGCAAATCCGATTGTTGAATTACTGTAGCTATTGGGGGGAAAACGAGCACAATGTTTACTTACAAGTCTCGAAGCAAGAAACTCCATCCCTCTTGCAACTTGATATGCAGCAATAACCAGATCTGTCATAGTCAACTGAAAGTTAGGATCTTTAGAAACACCTTTCCATTCAGTTTCATAAATATCTCTTCTATTTCGTAGGAACTGCAGCAGATTTCCATTTGAACAAAACTCAATAATAACCCACAGCTCACTTTCACGACCTAGATTGGAAGACAGAGTGGATTAAAGAACCGGCTAAACGTACAAAATTGAAGGGAATCTGATATAAAGCTGAAATAAATCTTCCTTTTTCTCCGTACGATTTTGTACTTATGTGAACTTATTATACAGTACCAAATTCAGTACCAGTTTAGTTTTATTTATCTTGCTTTTCGGACTGAAAACCATATTTATTTATTTCACACAGTTTTCGACCTGCAGGGTCTTCATCAGAGCTATATAACCTTTTCATTTTTGCCCCTATCCACACAAGAACGAAATATTCTTCGTGCAACCGGTATCGTAATCTTTATATCCTAATTTCTAAGTGGATAAAATGTATCATATTTGTAATGATCATGAAACGAAAGATACCAACCTTTCGTACACGCGCCAAGTAAATTCACAATATTCTTGTGTTCTCCAACATGGATAAGTATTTTTAACTCTGACAAAAGATCCTTGTATTCAGTTTCACCACTATCCTCTGAAAAAATTGCATTAATTATTATAGTTGAAATATATATATTACGTCAGTACAGAAATGTCAAAAATCTCAACATTATAACAACCATCAACAACAACAACATCAACAACACCGTCAACGTCAATAACAACGTCAACAACAACAACAACAACAGTCAGCAACGACAACAACAACAGCGACAATGACATGTATTTCAACAACAACAACGATATTGACAAAGATAGCAACAAAATCAAAATCAAGTACGACGACGACAAGAAAAGCGACAATGCCAAAAACAAGCATCGTTACTTAAAATACCTTTAAGGGTTTTCACTGCAACCTTTGTCATTTTATTGTTGTTAACGTAATGATTGCGTCTAATAGATCCACCAAATCTTCGTCTAGAGGGTCTTCTTTTAGTACTTCCACGAGGATCAAACGCTACAATACCCATGGCATCTGCCAAGAATACTTTGCCAAAGGCACCACATCCCAGTTCGCGAGCTGTAAATGGAAAAAATATAGCAATGTTACATCCTTGCAGAAAAGAAGTTACCTTATCATTTACAGAACCACAATCTCCGAAAAATACTTCGCCTTGGACTACTACAGCCACGGGATCAATTATGGAAACGAGGCGCTTTGCGTTTCGGACACAGTTAGGATGATGTGAATCGTTTGAGGCTAATACGAACATTTGACTATACACCCTTTTCAGTGTTTAGCGTAACAAAAACACGAGGTGTAGTTATTAAAACTTTAAATTTCGTGTAACGTACTAAAAGAACGCAGTATATTCATTCAAATTTCTGTACTTACAGAACTTCAATCTGTTTCTTGGAAATTCCCATTCAGCATCATATGGCAATTTATTTGTTTGTTCAGTTAATGGTGTATGTGGATCTAACTTCTTGATGTAGTCAGTAAGAGGAGGCAATGTCAGGATATAGAAACCACCATAAGCTTTCTTTCTTTTATATAAAACAACCGCAACGATAATCACGATTGCAACAATGAAGAAGCTAACACAACCAATGACAATTGGATATTTGTTAGAAATAGGTGCAGGAGTCCCCATACTTTTGCCAGTAACCGGCGAGGGTGCTGTGTAAACAGAAATAGATAATATATACTTAGCCTAAACAAAAAAAAAAGTTTTAAACATTCAATATAACCGTTAATTATCAAGGCCCTTCTCCAGTTCAAGTGTACCGTAAAATTTCCAACGAACTTTTCATTTTGAGGCGCAAACAACCCGGAAGTACGTGAATTTATCAACCTATTTTCAATCTATACGCATGCTAACCAGCACGTCTCGGTGCGATTCGGTTAAAGTGGAAAACAGTCTTTAGTCTGTAATACGTACTATGGTTTTGTTTAATCATTCAATATAACCGTAATATATTGCATATACGCAGATAGTGAGATACTCACACGAAATCTGTGCTAAAATAAGCGTGCATGTTTTATTGTTTAAAGCGACGAAATCACTTCTCCCTTTGAGGATAAGTGGGTTTAACTACACTTTCATCCGTTTCTTTTTAGGACCGCACAAGACGATTGACAGCGCAATATCCGGCAAAATCACAAGGTAGTCCAGGGCTTGTTTTAAATCTTGCTGAGTAACGGCATAAGAAGGTAGAACCTTCATTTCTGTAAAGTGGGATGCTCGATTTGGTGACAAGGGTAGGAAATGAAGTACTCAAAGAGTCCTGTGACTTCTTTATAATTTATTTTTGTGAAATGAATTTAATTGGTATTAATTTCAAATCATTGGAAGATGTTTGAAAATCTGCAGGGGTGCACCTGTGGCTGGTTCCCCGTCATTGTCAAGTAATTCCGTAAATCATCATACGACGGGCAGAGGAGCTTTCAATATATTACAATATAAACAAACCTAATTTAAAGTCCCCCAAGGAGGTGTTCTCTTTATTTTGTGCAAAACATCGATAATCACCAAGATTGCTGTCATCGAGTGCGTCAAAATGTAGTTCGTCACTGCGCTCGTTCTTCACACGTTTGAACATTGAAGTTTTTTTATCTTTTTTCTCCCACCAAACATGAGGCTTAGGATTACCATTTGCCACGCACTTTAGGAAGAATTCCTGACCAAGTACTATTGATTTTGTTTGTGGGACGAATGCGATTATCACTGGGGGAGCTAGTAATAGATACAACAATTTTTATTAGTTTTATATTGTATATGTTATAGCACATGGTATGTAGAGAGAAATTTGGAGTAGAAAAAAATTCAGCAGTGAGTTATTAAAGACAAATACTGTACCATCAAATCCCACAAGCCCAAGGAACGAAGTTAATTTTGGAGTACTTTAAAAATTCACATGCTGTACACAGTATTATTATGTATATATATTGTGAAAAAGCTAAAAATTTCATCTTCATTCGCATAAAAAATTGAACACCGATAATTTGTCCTTCCTTTAAATTTTTTTATACAAACATATATAGGCGTACGGGACAGAGGTGAAAGGGGGTTAATTGCCCCCCCGTAAGAAATGGACACACGGTATTTCGAGAAAATTGCAGCCGAGCAATTTTACGTTTCATAACAATAAAATACTCACCAAGTATGTCTACAAAGGCCTTAGCCGTATCATTTCCGAGTCTGTTGTGGGCTGTACAGGAAAATTGTCCTAAATCCTTTTTGTAATCCGCCTTACAGATGACCAATACAGTGGCGTGATTTTTGTCCTCATTTGGCAACATGTATCTACCTTGTAACCTGCTTTTACAATCATCTGTTCCTTGAACAGAACCTCGCACTTTCAGCATTTCGCCATCTTTCTTCCAGGTAATTCGAGGTTTCGGGTGGCCGCTAACGTTACAGCGAACAAGGAAGGAAGAAGATTGTTTTCTTGTAAGGTTTTTGAGCGAGACACTTGGTGCATTTAATTCTAAATTGATAGTAAGATTAAAGAAATATGCAATTATAATAACCATTTATGAACCCAATAAAATCAGCTGGCATGTATAACTAGTAGTAAATGTCCTTTGAAAACTAGGATGTCGACAAAATGTTTCCTGAATTCTTCTTATACTTTTAGTTGATTTTCAAGTATAGAAAAGTTCACTCATAAAAGTCTTCAAAACATATAGGCATGCATTTCAACAACAAGCTTGCCTAGAGATCAGGTAATAAATACATATTTCAAAACTAAATTTAATTAAAGAACGAAATTTGGAGAGTCATGCCAGGTGCATGATATCTCATATCTCGACGCCATGTATCGAATTTTTTCAATCGTCTAAATGTGAAATCAACATTTGCAAATATTTTTATATTTACGGCACAATGTATATGTATTACCTCGCACTTTTAGCTGTATCTCAGCTGCCTCAGAGATGCCATCAAACTCGCCAAAACACTGGTATTTTCCAGCATCGGTAACGTTGACATTCGTAATATGTAACGTGTTATATACAGTACCATTACTAGATGAATTGTCAACTTTCATACGTGGACCTAGCTGCAGAGCGACATTGTTGAATGACCAATAAACTTGGTTAGATATAAACTTGGCAACTGCACAAGACAGCTCCGCATTCTCTGCTTCATTGACTTCCACCAAACTTTGTACAGCTTTTAATGGCTGCGATTCTGAAACATTAAAGCAAACATTCGTCATTCGCTATGTCTGAACCTTTTCCTTACAAATTTTAAACAGAATAATCTATCTAAATTAACTATTAATTAAAGCGAATATTTTGCTTTTTTCTGCTTCGCAAAACTCTTGTAGTTTTTGTGCCCTCGTCTTGTTTTTTGTTATACTCTGGTCTGCCTTAGCAGAATTGTCATGGCAAACTCCTATTGCTACTGTAAGGCCATATAAAATAAATTCCTTGATTCTCATCGCTAAATTTTAAAAACTCCCAGGAGGCGGGAGGTTTATATTTTATATTTTATGTCAAAATATAAAAAAAAAAGTTTAAAATTTAAAAAATTGGAAAGGGAGGTCTTTTTATATTGCCCTTAAATATATTATAGAAGAACGCTATATAAGTGGATAATTGCACATGCGCTAATGAACATGCATAAGGGTCCACACAAATCGTTGTAATAAGGCCATTTTTCCTTCAGTATTCCAAGCATCCCTTAACATTTTGCAATATTAACGATAAAACAATTTTATATCGCAAAAATTCCAATATAAAATATAAAAATAACTAAATCTCTGAAGATGCTCGGTCGGGCGGTAAATTTATATTTTATAACAAAATACAAAAATATATCAACGCGGAAACCAAAATATCGTCGCGGGCGGTGATGAGAATTTGCTATTTGCCAGCTTGCCATAAATGTTTGCCAGTGTTTTGCCGGATGTTTGCCATTGCGGTCATTTGCCTTACAAGACCGCTGACTATAGCCTTGGCCAGTAACGGCATCTACCTCAGATACTCTGTCTCTGCCATTAACACATATAAAACCACCGACACCCAGTGATTTCTTTTTAATAAGTTTTTTAAAGTGTATACAGCCAATTCAAAAAAGGTTGTCCTTCGCAAACCTTAAACTCTGAACCTTAAACTCTAAGCGCGCAAAGCTTAATGGAGCACAAGTTTCAAGCTTATACAGTAGTAGTTGAATATTGCAGCTATATTTGTGAATGAATTGTTCTCGTAAGGAGATATTTACCATGTGTCTCTAAGAAATGGGCCCCATATATGATTTCTAAACTGATTAATTGATGCTCCCATTATGTTTTGCACGCTTAGAGTTTAAGATTTAAGTTTTAGAGTTTCAGGTTTGCAAAGGACAAGCTTTTTTGAATTAGCTGTATAGGTTATCATACGAAGGGTGATATCAGTTTTATCGCTTGAGAGACAATACCATAAATGTCACGAGTGAGCGCAACGAACGAGGGACATTTACGATAATACTGATATCACCTCTCCCTGATTATGATAACCTATTTATCATATACTTAAAAATATTTCATAAATAATAACCTGTTACTGGGACAACTTTCCATATATGGTTGTCTTCTCCAACAGTGTTACGCGCTGTGCATCTGTAGAAGAAATGCTGCTCACTTTTTTCAAGGATTAACGTACTTTTGCTGTTAGTGGTTATAATTTCTAAACCACTTTCTGTTCCTGTAACTACTTGCCAGTTGGAATTATTTGGTTTACAGTCCGCATTTGTACAGCCTGTTAATTGTGCCACCCATGTAAAGCTTATTTGATTTGGGTTTGCTTCTTCCACCATGCAAACTAACTCTTGACCTTCCTTGTACACATGGACGAAACTGAGGTTTTCCTTATTCTTCTTGGCAATTTTTGGTTTAGCTAAAGTAAAAGTAAAATTAAAAGTAAAAGGAAAATCGCAGGGCCGCAGCTTCAATTCCTCCCATGGACCTGTTCCTGATTAGGTTTGATAAATGCATGTATATAAATTTCCACTCGATAATTTCCATCTACAAAACCCTTTTATGTAGACTATGCACATTAGTTTATCCACAGTAGCCTATGTATATAGTCTACAGTATGTACAGCATATATATCTTATATACACTACTGACTAGATAGTGCATCTAATTATTCTGCAATTCAAAAATTAAAGTCGTGACTGCAAACTCAGGATATTCCCATGAAAAGAGAAAACTCGTATATTTTCTATTTCTTAAACAGGGAACTTAAACATTAAGTTAAACCTATTCCAAATACATTTTCAAACTATTCAAATGATGAAAGTTATTGTTGTTTTTTAAGCGTTTATTAGCGAGTGGGAAACTTCAACATGGCCGCCATCTATTCAAATGGTGGTAACCGCTGGAATATTCTTGGCTTTCTAGTGTATATAAGATATCTATGATGTACAGTAGCTAAGTCTACTGCATCGGTCGTTTTTCAAAATATTTTTAACATATTGATATATAAACATAAGATAATCAGGTTCACAAATATTTTCATAATCTATACAGTAACTTACCTAACATATTAAGTCGAAATGTCTTCGTGGCACTTCCAAGAGAATTAGAAGCGACACATTTGAGTGTAGCATTATCGCTCGGATAGGATAGGTAATATTTGCCAAAAACAGTCCTAGTAATATCCAGATAGTGGTCATTTGGATCATTATTAATGCATTTGGATTTATCACAGTTCGACAGAACTTTTATCTTGTCACCATTTATTTTGTACCAGGTAATTGAAGGAGACGGTATACCTTCGACACGGTAGTCTAGATGGATGCTAAACCGCGATACCGGCTGAACAGTAATAAGAGGTTTAGGAAATGCTGTAAAATTCGGCTTTTGGAAACCTATATAATTGTATTACAAAATGAGATTAATTATCCGTACATGCAGCTGAGAACTAAGCTCAACGAAGGACGCAGCTCAGCCAGAGTGAATTCACCATACGCGAGATATACATACCTTTAATGCCAACATACTTTTCTTTATGTGCCCTCCAGTTAACGTAATATCTGTATAGATCACATATGTACACGCCATTATCACTCACATTGAACTTTTTAATGACTAAAAACCGTTTAGTTTCTCTTAAACCAGTACGACGATGAAATGTGTGATCAGCTTCTCCAGCGTTCATCAGTTGCCAGTCGTTTCTGGTTCCGTTTCTTTTGCTTTTATACCAAGTTAATTTAACTGTACCAATGGCAGAGCATTTTAGTGTAACATCTTTTCCATATGCAACAGAAGTTTGAATTGATATGTCAGGTTTTGGTCTGGGTTTGCCATCTATAAAAATATGAATAAATAAATAAATAGATAGATATATACCGTGTGTTTGAAAACGCCCATATAACTTAAAGTGGATGATGCAATATATACAAGACATGCTATAAATACGATAGTTTGGCTGTTTTAGAGTTCGTGCATGGGTGTTTCCTGAATTAGTATTTTTCCGCCCGCGCATGCAAGAATTCACGTAAACGAACCTCCTGGATTCAATATTCAAACTGGTCAAATAATAATTAATGAACACAGTAAATTGATGAGCTATATAATACCGCAGTTCCACGGTGCGTTTCGACCGTGTGCTCATCAGTTGAAAATGCAGGACTGACCATTATTAACGCGTACCCCAGTTTCAGAGACTCTTAAGGCTGATTTCCACTGTTGCGTTTTTCGTACGCACGTATGTGCACGCACGTAAAACTTTGAATCCTTCTATCTTTTAAATATTTTACAAATAAGTTAACAAATGCATACTAAAACTTGCGGAACACTAAATTCTGTTGCTTTATCTGGTTATTTCATGAGTAACATTTAAACGGATTTAAAGTTTTACGTGCGTGTACGTACGCATGAAAAACGCAGCAGTGGAAATCAGCCTTTAGGGCCAGTTTATACTCTATGAGGAATCGAGCTAGAGTCTATGACGTAGGCTACTCAAGGCAAGAAGAAGAACATGGGTAAAAACAAAGGCACAATCCCGCAGTGAAGTTGGACATCTCCCCCGACTCAATTCTCAAGCAACGTTAGAAGCGGGTGAATCATCACTCCCTCACAGAAATATTCCAAGTATGCTCTTATAGGCATTCCCATCATTCTTTGCGTCGCTGCACTCGCGTAGCTATACTTCATGTAAGAGTAATTGAAATGTCTTGCACTGAAGTGAAATATTCATTACCCTGCGAGCAGGATCTCTTCTGGGAAATGTTCGTTTTCGTGATGGCTGGGGTGAACCCAACCCAGATCTTCATCAGTGCTGATAATATATCTAATAATATATGCATGCATGCATGCAAGACGAATGAAAATCTAGGCTTACCTATTACCTATCCCGAAATTAAAAATTGGGAATCGTAAGCTTTCAGCTTCTTCGCCCGAAGATTGTCACTGAAAGTGGCATGAAACGTAAAGGTGATGTAAAGTCTGCAATGTATAAATGCAAACAAACGCTTTGTTTACATTTTGAACTCAGTGCTGCAGTTGTAAAATATGATTACAGTATATATATATATATATATATATATATATATATATATATATATATATATATATATATATATATATATATATATATATATATATATATATATATATATATATATATATATATATATATATATATATATATATATATTATACTGAATTTTTAACACTCTTATGGTTCACTATGCTTGTAGATGAATACAGACTAGAGATTCAATTCAAGAAAGTTTGGAAGGTGCGAAATATTAACAACATTCCAATGGTCCAGTCCCGACCATTGGAATGTAGGCCTGCGCAGAACGTATGCGCAGACGGACTTTACACCACCTTTAATTAAAGTAGCGAAATTAATATTTTATAGTTTAAGGTGATTTCCAGGAATGAAAACAAGTATTATATTATCACTAATTAAGTCTAGAAGAACAATCAAATACGAAGGTAAAACTGTCTAACATTTACTCTAAATATAAATATTACTTGCCATTAGACGTATGAACTTTCAACGCGTTCAATGATGTAATGTTTTCTGCCCGGCACTGATATTGGCCGTCATCTGATGAAGTCAGGTTAATTAGTCTAAACGCTTGATTGAACTGCTGAATGTGACGGCCATTGGGAACGATCTGACGGTATGAATTAGTTTTGCTCCCCGGAGATTTCCACAATGTTACATTTACTGTGGGATCGCTTAGGGCACAGTTGATATCAATCACGTCACCAATTTGGAAAATTGCAGCAAGATCTTTCTTTTGAAGCCAAGTTGCTTTTGAATCTGAAATTGACAAGAAAACATGAAGTAGTGAATTGGCATGGTAAAAAGCACGTACTGTACATGCTGTGCCTATATAGGTAGTATAGATATGAAACGATACATGAAGTGAGATTTGCAATCGATTTGATCAGAGCAACAGAGCCTCGTTATAATCGTTATCGCTTCGTGCTCATTTTCCCCAGTCGCGGGTTTTTCGCCTCGCCATTTACAAATCACCTTTTTCCCAGAAAACCCTGCACAAAAATATTTATAGAAAAGATATTTCAATTTTTCTACATAACGTAGAAAGTTGTGTTTTTTACATATTAATTAAACCGATCTCAATATCTCAAGACTGAAAAGTTACAATAGCTAAATTATATAGCAAGCCAAATGTACATTAGGCCATGCAAAAGTATTTTGTTCAGCGCGCGCGTCGTCTTTGACTATGCGTGTTAGTATTTTGTTCAGCGCGCGCGTCATCTTTGACTATGGGGTTTTTTTTTATGAAAATTGCTTCATGATAATCTCAAGGACAAGGAAATTTCTACTCTGGTCAAGGAGATCTACAGTAATTTTGACTGATACAAAAGTAATAAGTTACATGTTTATGAATACATATTAGTACTCAAACTTAGTACTTGGAAATCTGTGTGCGTTAAATGTAAAAGGGCTAGGTCCCTTGATGGTGTTTTAAGTTGTTGTTAGTTGTCTCTTGCACCGATTGTATTTTGTCTTAAATTAGTTCGTTTCGACTGTTAAAATTATTGTAAACGTAAAGTTAATTATGGGGTCGCCGTAATTGGGGAAACCTGTGGCGAACTCCCTGGCGCTATATTAGCCGAATCTCATTAAATCATTAAATCAAACATACTGCATGTTTTGGCATGATTGTTGTGAGATTTGATATATTTTTATGGTTTCATACACCTGAGAAGTTAATATATTCCACAATAGTTTTCATTTCATCCCATGCAAACTTGGTGAAAGTTTAACATTTAAACAAAAAAATATCAATGTATGCTTATAAAAACTAAAAATGTACTTGCCATTTCTGCAAAAAGCGTTCCCTTGAAGAAAGTGGAGCGCGCGCGCGCGTCAATTTTGGACAGATAAACTGATCAGAAATAGGATACTTTTCTTTTTGGCCTTACCACAAACAATACTCTACATTTGGTATGCGAAGTATTTTCAGCTAATTCAATCAGGGTTGTCCTTTCAAAAACTTAAACCCATTGAACTAAAAATAACTGGAACGCTACGTTCAGTAAACTGCGCATGCAAATTTTGAAGCCAAAATTTGACTCCCATGAAGCCAGTTTTGACTCCCAGACACGCACTTCCACGCGTGTTTCTACTGCGCGATTCATTCGCGAGACAGTGCAGGGGGCGATCGAACCATGTTGTTTTGAACGTTTTCATGGCAAGATGCGAATCGAAAGGGAAACAAGCCTTTTATTTTAAAACGGGCCTTTTAAAGCCTGTGTACAACCTTGTATAATTTAGCTTCAAACTTCCGCTTGAACGTAGCGTTCCAGTTATTTTTAGTTCAATGCTTAAACCTTAAACTCTGAGCGCGCAAGGGATAATGGGTTATTGCTTATTTAGACTCATAAACTTTGAAATTTGGCTTTGCAAAAAAAAATACTTTCCGCAAAGGCAATTTTCTGAGTTTAAGGGCCTAATAGGTGAAACACCATCATCCCTTGCGCACTTAGAGTTTAAGGTTCCGGAAGGACAACCTTAATTGAATCAGCTGTAATTAAGTATTGTGCATGATCAGGTTTCAAATCGATTTGACGTGTTTTTACAAATAGCTAATCACATGCAAAGTTCAGATTCTCATTCTCAACCTAATTAAGTAGGGAAGTTATATATTCGCGATCCTGATTTGACCAGAGGCTCGTCAATCTCGTATCCAGGACTTCCGCAGTTCGTTGCTTGTGGCTCTGGAGGCTCTTTCGTCTCGTGTTTATTCTAATTTACCTCGCTGTGGTGACTTAATAACTTTGCTCTAACAGAATAAAAATCTCCCGATACTGATCAGTAATATTTTAATGATAAGTCAGAAACTTACATTTCACATCAATTTGCCATATGCTCAACAATTTCGTAAATGTAATATAACACAGAATTGAAACCACACCCCACTTTTTGGAAAATGTAAGGCCTGCACCCCTCCCCCTAATTATGATGCACTTTTTATAATTAACGCCCCTGATTTATAGAAAGACGTTTCAGTATATCCTTACAAATAAATTAATATTTGAAATACTTTTTTGTACATGGCCTTGACTTCTTGTAGCAAAACAAAGGCAGAGGAGAGGAGCAGCGCGGATTACAGCAGCCAGAATAGTGGACAGGACGGAATGGAAGAAAATCGACAATATCCGAGATATTTCTTAGACTGCCTACTATACCTTCAGCCGCAGTGGCGGCGGAACAGGGGGGGCTAGGGGGGCTAAAGCCCCCCCAGAAGTAAAAGTGGGGGGGCTAAGCCCCCCCCAGAAAATTTTGTTTTCTCTGGAAAAATTTTGATAATTAAGGAAAAATGTAGGTTATTTTTGAAAAATTTAGGTATAAGGGGAAAATTTTTTGATATTTTGTGTAAAAATGGAGTATGTCCGGAAAAATTTTTTGTTATGTCCGGAAAAATTTTTTTTCACCATTTTTTCAAATGGTACACTGACCGAAATTTTATTTGGTGACGGGGGGGGGGGGAAGTCAAGAAAAAAAAATTTAGCCCCCCCAAACTGAAATCTGTTCCGCCGCCCCTGCCTTCAGGCCCTAAGTTCATTTAAACTTTTTTATTAACACTTTATCTAGTGCGATTTTCTCCTTCTGATGGATGTGAACGAGTAGATGACTTACGAATGTTCGGAGTACATGTACCGTCATCTGAACATTCATAACTCATCCACTCGTTCACATCCATCAGAAGAAGAAAATCGCACCTAAAATCGCAAACGGGCCTTAATTTCAAAAAATTTACTTTTTTGCATGTTTTTTTGTAAATGTAACCATTGCCAATGATGAGCACTGCTTTATAACGGAATAATATAGTATTCCTCTTTCATAAAAATGTTTAACTTTTAAATTTTAATCGGCTATTATTGAAAAGATTGAATTCGTACCGATACTTGGTTAACAGGACTAACAGAGTAAAGAACGTCTGTCATGTTGGCAAAGTATTTACGGCTTTAATTTACACCTGGCAGCAAGCCAATTTCTGAAGAGGGCCCTCTATACTTTTCGCGTGAAGCGTGATGGGCTTATTTTACTTAGCCGTGAAACGTGATCGATGATTTTCTTAATCCGTGATTCGTGATGGTACGACTTCCAATCTTTTTACGTGCACGTGAAGGAAAGATTCGATTTAACCGTGACCCGTGAATGGCAGACAGAAATATTCGTGATTCGTGAATCTTCTGTTTTGTGACCTTTTGTGTGATCTGCTTTCCAAGGAATAAATACGGTTTGTTGCTGTTTTTTGAAGTACTTGATGTACAGAAGCCTGTTTTCGACATAGTTGGAGGTTTGAAAGCATGTCGAGGTAAGTACAGACGAGTACAATGAGTCAATGATTCTACAATTAAGGAAGACATCCTATAATAATTCGTGAACTTTGTTTTATTTTTACGTGAATCGTGATCGCTTCGACTTTTCCGTGATCGTGAAGGAATTTTTTCAATTTTTCGTGACTTGTGAAAAGGCAAAATATTTTTACGTGAAAGCATTTTGTGAAGAGGTATAAGGGGGCTTCTCTGAAGGATTGATTTCTTAAACTGATTTATTTTAAATGAAGATTTGCACAAATTTTCGTACCTCACATCAAAAATAGCTAGCACTAGAAAATTTTAGTCATATTTTCTGCTACTGGAAATATGGCAATTGCTAGATAGTATACTTCAAAATAAGATTTCCATTTTTATATCAATTTTTAAAATAATTTAGGGTTAGGTTAGGGTTAGGTTGGGGCTAGGGTGAGGGTTAGTATTAGGGTTAGTATTAGGGTTAGGGTTTAATTTTGCGTTAGGATAGTTTTTTCTACGTTATAAAAACGGAAACCTTATTTTGAAGTATACTATCTAGCGATCACCCTGCAAATATACATAGCCATAGACATAGCCATAGGCGAAACATGAGCTGAATCCATGTGATCAGCGGATTTCCGCACGAGGGCAATAGATTATGCTACGAAAATGCTGAAATTGTGCTATAAAAATGCTCAAAGGTTGCTCAAAAGTTGCTGGAAAATTGAATAAGTTGCTCAAAAGTTGCTCGAAAATTGAATAAGTTGCTCAAAAGTTGCTCGAAAATTGAAAAAAAGTTGCTCCTAAAATGTCAAAAGTTTCTCGTATTAACGAGTGGGTGCAAAGCAAGATATGACCGTATATTATTAAACACTGCAGGTAAATACAACAATAACAGTTCATAACTATAACTATAGTTCAAAACTATAAAGTCTTATAACACCTTAAAAGCTAAAAAGCTATCAAATCAGTTTGAGATGTTTCACAGTACGTTTACTTCCTCTGACTATTATTATATCTAAGCATTAATGTAACTTGCAGTTAACTTATGTGGGTTGTTATGGATGTTTGCAAATATGTCAAGCTGCGGACTGCCATAGGATCTCCCAAACTGTAGAACGGTAATGGTAAGCTTCTTAGTTTGTCAAATGGCCAAGGATAAGGAAAATATTTTGGGGCCTTGTTGTGCTATTCTTTCATATGACCAAGAAAAAGAGCTTGAAGAGAACATGGATGAAGGCTATCAAGTATTTCATTATCTTCTTATAAATAAAATTAGCAACAAGGTCTATATTGCCAAAAATTTCCAAAAATTATGCATTTCCTGGAGGAAGTTGCTTGAAGTTGCTGATATCATAAAAAGTTGCTTCAGATGCAAAAAGTTGCCAAAAAGTTGTCGAGCATAATCTGTAGAAGCCCAAGGGCAAGGAACTTTATAAATTCAAGGGATATATTGGGATATATAGATTCCTGTCTCGAACTTTGGGTTTGGGCCAGCGGTGATACTAACTCGTCCCTGCTACTAACTCTTGACGAAGGGCCTTCGCTCGAAACGTCAAGTTTCTGATTATTTTTTAAGGTAGTAATATAACCACTCAGCACAGCATTTTCACATTTCTATAACTAGTCTAGAGCAAACCTGCAAGGATTTAAGATACAACATGAACATGTTGCTGTTATATATCTAGCTCCATGATTAATCATTTGTATAGGTCAGGGCTTCTAAGAAATGGAATATTAATTATGAAATATGAAAAAACTAAATAGGAAACAAACTCCTATATGCATGGGCGTACCGGGCGGGGGAGGCGGCAGCCCCCCCCCCCCCCAGTTTGTTGGGCAGTCGGGCAATATTTGCTGAACAGTCGGGCAATTTTGGTTTATAAAAAAAAATTGGACAAATTGTGTCAATTTTGAGGTCAATTTTGTGATGTTTCCAAAATTTTTGTTAGGTTCTGGAAAATTTAGGTATGTCCGGAAAAATTTTTTTGGGGGGGGGGAGGTCGCCAAAACAAATTCCGGAAAAAAAAATTTCGGTACTTGTCGGGCAAAATCCGGAAAAGTCGGGCAAATTTCTTTCCGCCCCACTAAATTTTTCCTTCCGGTACGCCCATGCCCATATGAAAGTGTAATATATCCTTTTCTTTTATGTTAATAGCCTACAACAATATTTACAATAAGCATAAATTATAAGCATGTTTTCATTGTACTTCTTTCAAGTTGAAAAACCAGTAGGCCTATAACAAGAACGTTTTAAGGAAAACTTCAATTCATACCCAGATCTCAATTAAAAAAAAAAATTATTTAATATAACGTAAATTCAGAGCCAGCCAGTTTATATACAACACAATAATATATAGTTTCCGCTATGCATTATGAACACCGAAAATGAAAAATATAAAAGGACATTCTGTTTCATTTGATTTGCCTTTAATAATTGGCCTTTATCTTTGTTGATAACCTCTAACGATTTTTTATCCAAACACTATGTCAGTTCAACCTAAAAATCTAGGCTCAAGCTCAGATGAATCCACACATAAAAAACATTTTGCTATAACCACTAAACTATAAATATATATATAGCTAGTTAACGAAAATCGGCAAAGAACGAACATAACCTAATTATTAATAAGAAAATCGAGAAAGAAAGACTAACATATATAACTCATAAGTTGTGTGACACTCTAAATCTCTATTAAAAATAAAATACTTTATATTTGTTATACTTGTGAGTTATGACTTATGTGACTAAATATCAAGTAGGCCTAAAGGTCGCTAAAGCGCAAAGAGAACGGAAATCTTCAGAAATAAAGTCCTTAGAATTTCTTTGTTCTGCCTTGTTTTTAATCAACAAAATGTTAAAGCAAGTCAGAGACTAAGGTCCCAAAGTGCAACTGATAATCACTCTACTTTTTCACCGCATGATTTAATAGAAATTTTGGTATAGTGTAATTATAAAGAAACGAGTTTGATACATTGTCATTGGACATCATAGCCATACTCCCCATAGGAGGCAGAAAAGCAGCTGTACCGTTTATTGATTTTAATACATATTAAAAGACATGGCTTTGAAATGTTAAAAAAAACAACGTTGTTAAAAAGCAACGCTACTCAATTCAAAAAGTAATTATCGCCATGTCATCATTCTAGCAGCGTATTTTAAATTAATATTACACTGCAACACCTGCTCTTTTCGCTTATTTTAAAAATCGTCATTAAATATATCACAGGGTTTATTTTGAGACTATAGCTAAAGAATATATATATATATATATATATATATTACTTTCGCATCAGCACACGCCACAAAGGTCTCACACGAGATTAAAAATTCACGAGTCATTATTTGACAACCGCATCCTCGAAACAGAATAGCGCAAGTTCTCAAATGTCAATTGATAAGA